TGATCTATTTTTTTTTTGTCTCTCTCTCTCTATTTTAACACGTTGATGAAAAATATAAAACTTTGTCTGAAAAAAAAAAAAAAAGAAACGCACGCGAAATCGAGGACTCGCGACGATCAAATCGAGGAGAAACCTCGCGGGAAAAATCGCCGCTTTCTCTCTCGTTGATTTCGCATCGTTCCGATACCAGGGTTCGGGTGTTCTAAAAACTCGCCAACCGACCTGACGAAAAGCACTTCGTCTCCCTTATCGTGGCGGCCATTCGTTTCCGCGACACAATCGGTCGGGCCGGCGCGCCGACCCGACCCAACTCGCAAAGAACAAGTGTATTAGCACGCTAATCTGCGTGCCTCGTGCTCAATCTTTAATATTCGCTTCGGGGCTCTCAACCCCCTGACGTTCCACCGTCAAAGCCCGCTCCTCGCCACGAGACCTCGCGCTCCTGACTCAGCAGGTACCCCCGGACCTGACGTGCAATGTCTTTGCGCGTATCCCCGGCGCATTTGCATGTAGCCATGAAGGACATCGCAGCCGTGTCACTTCCTTTCGGCAATCCCGAGAGAGAGAGAGAGAGAGAGAGACCGAAGCGTTCCCGTTTAGATACCGCAAATCTTCCGGCGAAAAAAGAAATCGCCGCGCGTGATGTATGGCCCCCGAGAAAATTCGGCGAAGACCGACGGGTGACTCGCGTTTGCGAGTCTACGGGACAAAATTACAAGTTCCGGTAATTTTGTGAATTTCTCTTGCTTGAAATTTTATTTAACAAGAAAGAAAAAATTCTTCCTTGTCAAGGTAAACATTTGAGACAAACGTGACCTACCACTTACCTAAAGGCGCGTGCCAAAAAAATTGCTGCCTCACGCGATTGCTCGTTCGCGCGTTATATTCGAGAGTTATATTTGCGCACCGTCTGAATTACAAAAGCAAACGAAGCGCTCCCAAATCACACAACGTCACACTTTGTGCTCTACATACAATCCCGTGACATCGGGGAACGGATCTTGACGGGTGGTCGGCCGCGTCTACAACGGGGCGGTTCAACATATTGGCGGCGGTTAATATACGTCGTGTCCCGCGGCACCGGCTCCATCAATCATCAATCGATTACGCGATCGGGAGAGATAATCGTTTATTTAACCGTTCACTTAGGCAGGTTCGCACGACCGCCGGGGCCGACGCCGGTGGCGGTCGCCTGCGTAAAACGCAAGTCACGCGGGAGAGAAAGAGAGAGAGAGAGAGAGGCAGGCCACAGGAAAGGCACCCCTGAGGAGCAGCGTCATTATTTGCACTTCAAAGACGTCTATATAAATGAGGGCGGCGGTGCTTAATGAAGCGACCGAGCGATCACGGGGGACGATCTAATGAAAACAGCCGTTGACGTGGCTGGCGTGGAATTCCGGCGGCCGGACTTTTCGTGATTGCCACTCCTCGCCAGGTCTCCTCGAATCGGGGGGGACGCGCGGTAAAAAATAGAGAGGGATGATTCTATTCCACGGTTATATATTTATTCACGTGCTCTCAAAACTCTGAGCGAACTTGGTTTTATTTTTCGAACATCCCGACGAGCTTTCTCTCTCTCTCTCTCTCTCTCTCTCTCGCAGCGGCATCTAAAAATAAACGCGCTATATAATCAATTGCGCCAATTTCCAGCGAGAAGCGGCTACAGTGCGTTGACGTGCATGTACAACAACAGGCGTGGGCGATAAAGAGAGAGAGAGGAAGAGAGAGAAAGAATCGCACTATGACGTTGACCATAGCGTAAACACCGGGAAAGAGAGAACTCGCCGGTGGAACGTTTCCCCAGCGCCATTCCTGCCGAGCTGGAAGCGTTCTGATTGGCCTCCGCCTCTCCGCTTTTAGATCCCGCCGCTTCCTGCGTTCCTCTCGGCCGCATATATGTGTTCATAAACTGACCTTGCCGGAGGAAGTGTAATTATTATTACTGATTGCACACCGACGTGTGTAGCGCGCGGCACATCGCGATGGCGCGACCTTTCCACCAGAATTTCACATTCCCCGCGCCGCCGTCGGCGAGATCGCATCTGTGTTTATTTTCTCTCTTTTTTTTTTTTTTAAATATATTTTCTGCTTTTTTTTCGCCTTTGTCCGATTTTCCGACGAACTTACGTCACATTTTTCTCTTTGTAAAATTTCTAAGGAGAGACCTTTTTATGTGGAAAGAAAGGATCGGAGAGACTATTTGCCGACGTGTTTTCCCGTCATCTTCTTTCCGCAAATCCCCGTGTGTGCTTCCGCTTTCTTCGATCGAAGAAGTTTCAATAGTTTCAGGAAGCATTCGGACACGGTCGTTGGTTCCGAAGCGACATCCGCGGCAATTAAAAACCGAATCGCGTATCCGATCGACCGGTCGGATACGCGCACGTGTGGCCCCCGCGAGATATATATACCGCTCCGTTCGCAGTATCCTGTGGTCATTCCGAACGATATCGTTCTAATGGATCCTGCCCGGTTCTGTCTTGCGACCCCGGAGGGTCGCGTGGCCGCGCTACGCTTTACCGACATTGCGTGTGCGACTATTTACGAGTGACCGTCTTTCCGCACATCTACGCGTCACCGTTCCGCGGCGATACCAAGCGCCGTCTGATTTGATTCTTCGTTTCGTTCGTAGAGATTTTTTTTTCACGTGGCGTGAATCAAGTTCTGCGCGCGCAAATCTCGAGTTCTTTAAATTCGATTGTTTTGATCGCCGCGATTATTTCGCCAATTGTCGGTTGATCGTCGAAGGGTCGCGTGGCGTTACACGTGGGCATTGCGTGCGAAGTCGCGCGCATCTTTCGTTGCACGCATCGATAATCGTCGATAAATCTTGCGAAAGCCCGAGTCGAAATTTAGCGTCTACATTGAACCTCAATTTTTCTTTTTTTATGTAGGAGTAAGAGAGAAAGTAGATCCTACTTTGACGCTGCTATAGGTCCGAAATTTCCTTTTTTCCTGCTAAAGTTTTAAAGTAGGGTTTAATTCTCAGATCAAACTGCGCATTGCAGGCTCTGATAGGCTCAAAATAGGCTCTAATAGGCTCAAAGTAGGAGTAAGAAAAAAAGTAGATGCTACTTTGACGCTGCTATACGCGTCCGAAATTTCCTTTTTTCAAAAATTGAGATTCAATGTAGACGCTAAATTTCGACTCGGGAGGTCTCGCTCTCTTACGGAGACGCAACTCCGTCCGTTCGCGTCTCAAAAGATGGTAAGATGATCTTGTTGTACACAAACAATTCAAAAACAATAAAAATAGTTTCGAAGAACAATCTGATCAATATTCAAAATAGTGTTTTTTGTTTTTTTTCTCAAGTACGCGCTCTCTTTCTTCGTCTCGTTCTTCAAGTTCGGTGTTTCGAGACTGTGTGTCGATGTGCAAACAACTAAAGCGTAAACGGATTAACGGCGGTTTCACGAGAAACAACGGCGATGTACGTGACAGGATGTGAGCGACACTTCCTCTCAAACCCTATAATACACCGTCGATCTGTTACAGTTTCATACACCTGCTTGCCTTCTGCTTGATATGCGCGCCGTAATTAGAATATACGAAAGAGAGAGAGAGAGAAAGCGAGAGAGACCACACCGTCGTATTAAATAATAAACCGGTCGCGTTATTAAAAGTCGCCGCGCGGCGACTTCGTCGAGCGCGCGCGGGACAAACACTTTCCGATCCTATGGATTTATTCAAAAAAAAAAAAAAAAACCGTCGCGAGTGTGATAACGAAAATTTACGCCGAGAAGATCGTGTGCAGAAAAAAAAAAAAATTCGTATTTCGACGCGAAAAATTTGCAAGAAACCGCGCGAGATCGATTCCGTCTGTAAGCGCGACGAAAAAACGCTAATATATGTACGTATCGATCATCGAATCTACATAGAAACGTCGGTCAAGCTTATATCTTCGACAGTAATCGCCTTAATTATCGTCGCGGTCGAGAAACATAAATTTACACTAAGGTAAAAAGTTGCTCGTCGCTTTTTCGGTTGCCCTTCGCCGACGTCATCGCGTCGCCTTAATCTTTCGTAAAAATCTGCAAACTTCGACCGATGTTTTTTTCACAGCGCGCGATATAATATGATAATTCTGATAAAAGTGTCGTTCGTTTTGCGTCTTACGGTTGACTTTAATGACTTTTTGCGACTGCGAGCGATGACGCAAAGAAGCGCCGTCGCGCGACGAAGATGAATCAAATTTATGTGTTTTGAACAAAATTAAAATACACGCGCGCCTGTACACGGGCGGTGATGTAATTATTTACGGGAGACAGACAGCTACAAATTTTTGATAAACATTATTCCACTTAGCGGTTAATAAATCAATTATTCAAATACTTTTAAACACCAGCTTTCACTTGTGACTTCTGACGTCCGTCGTTTTTCGAGAACAGACTCACGTCGCGAGTTCTCGGCTGGCGAGAAATTGCCCGCGCCGCGTGGTTTAAAGAAGTCACGGAATAAAGAAATCGTAAAGCTGATTGTGTGATTGCGCGGGGACCGAATCCTCGCAAGCCGAAGAAACAACGGCGGTCCGATGGCCCGCCCGCTTAGCTCTCTAATCATTCCCGTGATTTGTGGTCGAGAGACGTGGTGGAAAAAAAAAAAAAAAAGAAAGAAACCGGAGGGAGCCTTATTAAGATTCGCGAACAAGTACAAGCACGAGGCCGCTTGATTGAAATTTAATTGCACCGCGTCGAAATTATCCTTTCTTTCTTTCCTACAGTTTTCACCGTCGCGAAGTCTGCAACTTCTCTCCGTATATTATCACACTGATGCCATTTTTTTTTCTCCGCACGTTATTTCGTGCCCGCGGAAAAAATTCGAACGAATTACGTCGGAAGTTTCTACTTTTGAAAATGCAGTCGTTTCTCGTTGTAACAAGAATTTAAAAATTTATCTCGACGATAAAATAATTGATACGCATTTTGTTTATTTTTATTTTTATTTTTTTTTATATACATATGATTGTTATTGATTTTTTACAATTGACTTGTTTCTGTTGCAGTGGTGATGCACAAGGATAAGGAAGAGAATTCGCACCACGACTCGCACTACAGGGCGAGAGAGTTGGCAGCGCTCGCTGCTTACGACCATCATCACCTCGACGGCGAAATGTTCCTACAGGTGAGCATAATACTCATCGCGACGCTCATTACGGTTTAGAACAGCTCATATATTTACGGCCTTATTTGGACGCACCGAATTTTAAAAATGCATATCGGCCAGACGATATGCTCGCTCCGTTTATTTTATCGCGCGCACGCGCGCGAGAGACACCTGCCCTTTCGCTCTCTCTTTCTCTCTCTCGATCGATCGATCGTTTCAATTCGCCGATCGTGACAGAGAAATCTATCTTCGCGCGAACTCGAGATATACGCTCGAAAAAAAAAAAAAAAAAAAAAAAAAACAAGCAACGTGTCGCGTGAAATATTTAATCGATTTGCGATGCAATACGTCAGATGGCGGAAATACGAGAGAGATTGTCGCAAATTTAATGCGTTACACATCGAAAGGTTTTCACGGGCGATTTTCGACGATTTTTGTGCGAACGGAGCCGCGTCTGTTACGTCGATCCGCGCGATATGAGGGGGAAGGGGAGGGGGAGAGGAAAACAAACGATCGCCGTTCAGGTTATTGATTCTAATCGTTGAGGACCAATCAAACCGCGATATGATAAGTCAACGATTACAAACGATCGACTCCATTTCGAGCGGCGATATTATCTGCGCGCGATACATTCACCTGCCATAAGCGCACCGTCTACGATTCACGATTGATAGACGGGTTTGATGGTGTGAGTGCACGAACAGATGGAGAGATGAATGAGCGGGCAGGAGAAGAGAAACGGGCGTGCTCACCCGAATGACGACTCGTGATTGGAATTGTCTGTCAGGGAAAACGATACGATTGAACGTCACGTTTGAAGGGAACTGCAGATGGTTTTCGTATATTATTTCGACGAAGAACATACAAGCGAAACGAAATGCGTGATACGACGAAAATAGAGGAATGTCAATTCGCGATATGTAATTTCGAACAAATTTGAAACATTGATTTGTTTCTCAGCGGATGATAATTAATCGACAAATAAACGAATCAAAGTTTTCTTTCGAGCGAAAAAAAACGCGTTTGAATTCACAATTCAATTTTATTTTGACATCGTTGTTTTACGTGTAAAAAAAAACAAAAAGAAAAAATGTTTCGACACAACTTGTTCAATTTTCTCTCGTCGAGCCAATAAAAGTTTGATTGATTCTTGCGCGCGCAAGTTGCAAAAAAAGTGCGCGCCGAAATTAAATCATCGAGAATGAGAGGATGAGACAGGGAAAAGAGGAGAGGGAAGACGGCGGGGGGAAGGAAGAAAAAGAGGAGAAAGGCAGGGGAGATATCCGGCTGATGAACCGGCTATGAAACCGAGGCGTACGAGGTGTCTATTTCTCCAAAGTATGGAAGGGTATATACGCGGATTAATGGCGTTGTATCATGCAACGCTATTACGTTCCCTTTCCTGCGTTTTAGGTGTGCACACGAGGGAAAGGGAGCAGTATGAATCTGTGATCGCGCGCGCGCGCAAGAAAGAGCGAGAGAGAAAATCTAGTGAATAAAGCGAGGAATAGGGTGGAAAGGATGCAACAACGTTACATACGTACGCGATTTCACTCGAGAGTTGACAACAAGAGTTCTCGCACTCTTCTGACTTTGTTCCAATCATTTTTTTTTTTTTTTTTTTTTTTTAAGAGTTTTCATCACCGAGAAATACAGGAATTTTTATAACAATCGCAAAGAGATGAGAGACACACCGCTCGATTTCGAGAAGAGTTCTGGTATCCTTCCCTTCTCCACCTCCCTTCGAGCGTCCTCTCTTGTATCTTTCGCGCGCCCCGTTTCCCCCCTTTCTACGCGCCATATACCGTTTCGCCGATCCTCATAAACTTTACGAACCCCGACGGTAAATCCGGTTTATGACATACTGTGGTCGCCGCCGTTGCCGCCGCCGCCACCACCGCCACCACCACGAGGCATCTTCGAAATTACGGTTGTGCGCGATCTCTCTCTCTCTCTCTCTCGAATTTTTATACCCCTTCCCCAATTATATGCCCGCGCGGCGCGATTGAGCGAAGCGACTCTCTCTCGGTTTAGACACGACGATACGAAAACGCGTGTCTTGCCGCGGGGGGGATGAGGTAAATTTGCGTCTCTCGAGTTACACGGCATCAAATCAGCCCGGACCACCGCGGAGATCGCCGCGTCGCGTTGCGCTTTCCTCTCCTCGAACATCTGATCCTGATGAATACCGACAGGATTTGTCCAGGTAAAAGTCACTCTTTGTTTTTTTTTTTTGTTTTTTGTTTTTTGTTTTTTATTGCTTTTGTAGAAGCGAGAGAGCGCGCCTTTGTTTGAATTACTTGTTTAGATCGTCGTTGGTTATTTTTTTACATCAGAAAATAAATACGCGTGATAAATGTCGGTGGGGGATTCTCTCTCGTTAAAATACGCTCGCGACGTTCGAGAGAGACCGTAGGAGGAGAAACGTGGGCAATCAAGAAAATTTAATTTGTCCTCTCTAATGCGACGAGAATATACGGTAGACGGTGCTTATTGCATACATAACTTCGCGTTTAAAAAGCTCGTGGCTCGTTCGCTCTCTCTTTCTCTCTCTCTCTCTTCGGGTATTTAATTTGTTAATTTAAACTTATTACCATCATATACTTCGTTATGGTGTTAAAAAGGTAAACGCGCGCGAGGAATATAATGAACCGCTTTCAAGAAGAAACAGAGAATGCTCTCGTCGAGAGTTATAATTAGCAATTATTGTTGGTCTCGAACGCACGCTTTATATCTTGTTTATCGTCTTTTACGATTCGTAGAGTAATAAAACCATTCAATCGCAAATACAAATTTGCTATAACAATTAATATCTTTTAAGATACAATATTCTCTTCAATATAATTTTGTACACATGTAATTAAAAACAATGTGACAAGATTTGTTTTTTTTTGTTTTTTTTTTTATTTCTCCGCAACCGATACACGCGGTATCGTTTGTCTCGAAAAAAGAAAATGTACAAGTTGCTTGTAACCCAAGTACGATGAGAAAACATGCAAAACAAGTTTTCGATCGTTTCGGGGCTAACCGCCGAATATTTAAGAAACAACCGAAATCTCGAACGCGACTTTTCTTCTTTACCGCGTTAGAGAGTAAACGTTTTTTTTTCACGTTTTTTTCTTCGCGTGAGTAGCGTGCAAAGAGGTACCTTCCTACTTAATATACTCGCTATTCTCTAAACGGTATGCGGATACATTACTTGTACGAAAGTTTCCTCGCGCGTAAAAACATTTACTACCCTTTTTCGTCACTTCTGCCGTGACGCGCAAGAAGACGGAGAAACAGAGAGAAACAGAGATAAAGAAATCGTTTCTCCTGAATTCCCGGCGTAAAAGGTTCAAGCAGACCGAAAGCTTCTTCGATCAACTCGACACGAAAGCGTCACGCCGGTTAATTCGCCACGCTGAACGTCGCCATTTTCGCAATTCAACCACCGAAGAAATACCGAGATATATACGGCAATATTTACAAGTATCATATGTTAGAAACTGCAAATAATAATAATAATAATAATAATAATAATATCGCGTGTATATTTTTACAAAATGTAAAAATTACGCGCGCAAAATGTTGCAATTTAAAAAAAAAAAAAATCAGAAGATTGTTGAACGCGCGGCTGAACTTTTTCGATCGTCGAGCGTAACATACTTCGTCCAATCCATTTCTGTCGTCTCGCGGAAATTATCACCCGGCGCAAACGCACGATACTCGACGGGAAACCCCCCGCCGAGAGAGCGGCGGCTCTCGGCTTTCGTTCCTTTATGGAACTCGAATAAACTTTTCTGTGTGAGACCGCGCTACCCAGAGTCGCGGGAAAAATTATGCGATTGGCCGCTTTTTGCCGCATCAAGACACCGCGCGCAACCGCCATTACGATCGCGAGCGCGCGACGTGAGGGAAGAAGGTTGAACGCGGAAAAGCGGAAGGTATATGGTGGTGGTGTTGTCGTCGGTTAACTTTGCGCTTGATGTCAAACCGCGTGAAACGACACGTGTGATTTACGAGCGCGTCCCAGCCGATTGTACGCGATATCCTCTTTTACTTATAAAATGCGTTTTATTGTACACACACGCAGATCAGCAGTTGCACACAAGTAATCGCTGCGCGAACATAAATTGAGTTGTCCCGTATCTTGTATACGCGATATGTAGTAAATAGATGATGAATATTCGAAAGCTCTCTCTCTCTCTCTATCTCTTTTTTTTCTCTCTCTCTCTCTCCTCTCTCTCTTTCTCGTGTATAATTTAAAACACATCCCGGCGAATTTCGGTAGGAACAAAGGGGCACGGAACAAGGTGCCCATAAAGCCAAAACGAAAGCATTCGGCTACGAGATTACTCGTTAAAGCGCTGACGGGGCCGATCAAAATGCAACGAACCTGTGCATTATGTTGTTGATACAGCACTGCGGGCGAAATTCAGCGACTCCGTTCTCTCTAGCGAGGGGGGCCCCCCCCGCGCGCGCGCGCGCGCGCTTGCTCCCCCGTCGCTCATCCCTCCCTTTTTCCGATATACGTGTGGTAAGCCGGGCGTGGATCGGGCCAATTTTTACCCCGGCGCGCAACTCCGGCTTCGGTACAAATCACGCCTCTCAGTGACGTATCGCCGCGAAAGCAGCCATTTTGCTCTCATATTTTTTGTTTAATAGCCACCAGGCTATCGTGTATCGCATTAATACGCGCGGCGGCCAGCGCGCGGTAGCGGTAAAAGAGGGTCGTGGTCGGGGCGACCCCCGCCACCCGGTAACCCGTAATCACAACCGAGCTATTTTTCTCCCCGCGCGCCCTCTCCACCTCCCTCTTCCAAGATCGCTACCGCATCTACGCTTCCCGCGAACTGCGGATGCATCTCGAAGATGCCAATAAAGCGGTGATAAAGGAGCGATTATATTTCGGGAAGAGGGAATTGGGGGTGTGGGAAAAAAAACGGAACATCGGGAGATAGGTGGTGAGAAAACGAAGGAGAATAGTTTTTGTGTTTAATTAATGTTTATTTATTTTTTTTTTAATTTCTCTCACG